AGGATATGAGGTCTGCAGGCATCCAGAAAAGGAGCACAAACTAGAATGCGAAGCCATTGATAATGATGGAGTAACGATTGCTAATAACCAACAAATTATGACTTGTGTCCTGGGAATTGGACTAACATGCAAAAACAGTGATCAGAAGAGTAAAGAAAAGTGCCATAATTACAGAATAAGGGTTGAATGTTGTGCACAACCATGCAAACCAGTAACATCTGCTCCTGGAGTTATTAAGACTACAACATTGCCTCACTTATCACTTATTACACCCAGTCCAGCAACAACCGCAATCACTCCAGGTGAACCTGGTAAACCAGGCGAAACCTCAACTCCTGGCTACCCAGTGCCTCCAGGTGAACTCGGTAAACCAGGCGAAACCTCAACTCCTGGCTACTACCCAGTGCCTCCAGGTGAACCCGGTAAACCAGGCGAAAAACCTCAACTCCTGGCTACCCAGTGCCTCCAGGTGAACCTGGTAAACCAGGAGAAACATCTACACCTGGGCTATAAAGTTCCTCCAGGTGAACCCGGTAAACCAGGCGAAACCTCTACACCTCGCTACCCAGTTCCTCCAGGTGAACCTGGTAAACCAGGCGAAACCTCAACTCCTGGCTACCCAGTGCCTCCAGGTGAACCTGGTAAACCAGGCGAAACCTCAACTCCTGGCTACCCAGTGCCTCCAGGTGAACCCGGTGAAACCCAGGCGAAACCTCAACTCCTGGCTACCCAGTGCCTCCAGGTGGGTAAAAAGTTCCAGGTGAACGGTAAACCAGGCGAAACCACCTGGCTATAAAGCGAAACTCTACACCTCGCTACCCAGTGCCTCCAGGTGAACCCGGTAAACCAGGCGAAACCTCAACTCCTGGCTACCCAGTGCCTCCAGGTGAACCTGGTAAACCAGGACGAAACATCTACACCTCGCTACCCAGTTCCTCCAGGTGAACCCGGTAAACCAGGCGAAACCTCAACTCCTGCTACCCAGTGCCTCCAGGTGAACCTGGTAAACCAGGCGAAACCTCAACTCCTGGCTACCCAGTGCCTCCAGGTGAACCTGGTAAACCAGACGAAACATCTACACCTCGCTACCCAGTTCCTCCAGGTGAACCCGGTAAACCAGGTGAAACCTCAACTCCTGGATACCCAGTGCCTCCAGGTGAACCTGGTAAACCAGGCGAAACCTCAACTCCTGGCTACCCAGTGCCTCCAGGTGAACCTGGTAAACCAGGCGAAACATCAACTCCTGGCTACCCAGTGCCTCCAGGTGAACCCGGTAAACCAGGCGAAAAACTCAACCTCCTGGCTACCCAGTACCAGTCCTCCAGGTGAACCTGGTAAACCAGGCGAAACCTCTACACCTCGTTACCCAGTGCCTCCAGGTGAATCCAGTAAACCAGGGGAAACATCTACACCTGGCTATCCAGTGCCTCCAGGTGAACCTGGTAAACCAGGCGAAACCTCTACACCTCGCTACCCAGTGCCTCCAGGTGAACCTGGTAAACCAGGGGAAACTTCTACACCTGGCTATAAAGTGCCTCCAAGTGAACCTGGTAAACCAGGCGAAACCTCAACTCCTGGCTACCCAGTGCCTCCAAGTGAACCTGGTAAACCAGGTGAAACCTATACACCTGGCTATAAAGTGCCTCCAAGTGAACCTGGTAAACCAGGCGAAACCTCTACACCTCGCTACCCAGTGCCTCCAGGTGAAGCTGGAAAACCTGGTGAAACATCTACACCTGGCTACCCAGTGCCTCCAGGTGAACCCGGAAAACCAGGCGAAACTTCTACACCTGGCTACCCAGTGCCTCCAGGTGAACCTGGTAAACCAGGTGAAACCTCAACTCCTGGCTACCCAGTGCCTCCAGGTGAACCTGGTAAACCAGAGAAAACATCTACACCTGGCTACCCAGTGCCTCCAGGTGAACCTGGTAAACCAGGCGAAACCCCTACACCTGGCTACCCAGTGCCTCCAGGTGAACCCAGTAAAGCAGGGGAAACTTCTACACCTAGCACACCAGTATCTTCTACCACATCTTCCAGCTGCAAAATTTTAAGACAAGCTGAATGTCGCTGGACTAAGTGGATAAATGCAGAAAAGCCAACCTCTGGTGTTAATGGTGGAGAAAAAGAAGGTAGCAAGATGTTAAGAGCCTTGGGAGTTGATGTTTGTACTAAAAATGAAACTGAAAATAAAATTGAATGCAAAGCTGTGTCATATCGAGATATAAGCAAAGAAGATACGTCCCAGATTATAACATGTACTGTGAAGGATGGATTACACTGTAAGAATAATGATCAAATTGGCAAAGATAAGCAATGTGTTGACCATACAGTACGATATGATGTTGCTCTATAAACATTTATTGAATCTTGTGGAGAGCTATCCACTCCTCCTTCAGGGACCTTGTCAACAGTGGGTACTCCGGGTACCATATCATCTGAAACCTCTCCTGGAGAAACACCTTCTATTTCATCTACAGTTAGCACTGAGACTTCTGGAACATTATCAACAACTAGCGCACCAGCAATAAGAACTCCCTCGTCTCCTGGATCTCCACCACCTTCTGGCAGCACCGTGCTCTGTTTCTGTAAAATAAGAACCGAATTTTACTCTCCAGGTAAGAGTCAGCTTGTCTTTTACCAGATGAACTGTAAAACTGTGCTCCGTTTTATTTCTTTTAGAGAAATTCTTGCATTGGATGGCCTGCAAGGATCAAAATAACAAATCTGGCTAGGTAACCAATCTCTATATTTTGGAATGTTTACCTAAAATTGTGAGAATTGAAGAGGATCCAAATATATTGAAAATATATCAACTATAGTCACAAACTAAAGGTTTAACCTCAAAGTGATGTAATATATATAGATTTTTTGTAAAATAACAAACATATCATACTTACCTGCTCTGTGGTTTTGCAATGAGCAGCCCTGATCCTCTTCTTCTCAGATCCCCTGCCAGTGCTTCAGGCCTTTTAAGTATCAGTGTCAGTGTGTTTTAGATAGGACAAAAAAATAAGCAAAATGTTCACTGTTTCTGGGCTGTACTACAGGTATAAACAGCAAATAACATACACATATATTGGATTGCTACGATCGTCAGGAGAAGGAAAATCTATTTTTGGTTATTCTTTGGTGATAGGTTATGATAGTAACAGGAAATATACAACTAAATTTAAACAAATGTTTTTTTTTTTACTATTTTGGGCCAGTTTTCCTTTGATTATAAAAAAAAAATCAGGAGATATCCATTACCATTCACCACTAAATGGAAGCCCAATTTATCCATAAAAAACAAAGTATAATTGACCTGGATGTACAAGGTAGTTGTAATGATATGTAACTCAAATCATTGAAGTTGGGTTAACATTTACTAGCACATGTAAAAGTTGCAAAATTGGGCTTAGGCATTAGGATTTGTTTTACCCTTAGGCGTGAATGGGATTAGAAAAAGTAGCCTTTGTTGAATCCAAATTCTGTAAATACTAGTTGCCTTGCTTTAATGTTATACCAACTTCAATGATTTGAGTCATGGACCCAGAACAAGTCTATATTTAAGGACATTCCTGATCTTCATGCTTGTTCATGGTTTCAGGCCAGCATTCTCAGAAAGAGATCAGCAATGACAGCCTCCATGTTTCTCTTTGCTTTAAAGTGGTTGCATTCAATGCATTACAATTAACAAACCTTCTCTGTGCAGCTCCCATTATACTTACCTGAGTGTGATCTTGAGCCAGTGCTGAGCCCAGGAGCAGCAGCTCTCTCTGCTCTCTCTTTCCTCACTGGCCATGGAGGCAGCGGAGGAAGCTTTTGGCTACTGGTACTGTCAGTCACAGGCTGTGAGGAGAGAGAAAGGGAGTGGAGCTGAGCCACGCTGTGCGTGTCTTTTGACACACAGAGCACAGCTCAGGATCATGCTCGCATGACTGCCCCTATCATAAGTGGCTTGCTACGGTGGCACTCACCAAGGGGGAGGGGCCAGGAACATCGGGGGGGGGGGAACACCAGAAGAGGAAGATCGGGGATGCTGTGTGCAGAGCAAGGAAGTATAGTATAACAATCTTATTCAATCGCTTTAAGGTTTGCTTTCACCACCTGCTACCAGGCCAGATTTGCCATTTTTCACATACACACATATTAAAGCGGAGCTCCACCCAAAGGGGGAAGTTTCCGCTTTAAGCCTTTGTCCCGCACTTCCCATTAAGGATTGATTGGCACCTTTCAGGAGCGGGTACCCGAATTTGACAGGTACCCGCTCCCACTTTCGCTGCAATTGCCTAGGTGATCGGCAGCGGAAGTTGTCCTCCCCTCCTCTCTCCCAGTAGCCTTCTGGGACATGTGACAGGTCCCAGAAGACTACGGGCCATTCAAAAAGTGCAGTGGGCACTCAGCTGTGAAGCCGGAAGCTGTCACAGCCGTGTGCCCACACTGAAGATGCCAGGGAGAGAAGATGGCCGGTGAAACCAGCCATGGTGAGGACACCGTTGGACCTAGGGACAGGTAAGTGTCTGTATTTTAAAAGTCAGTAGCTACAGTTTTTTTATCTGCTGACTTTTATTTATTTTTTTTTAGCTGGAACTCCACCTTAAAATCAGAATCTTTTTTTCCTAGAAAACTACTTAGAATCCACAAACATTATATATCTTTGAAAGCAGAGGCCCTGGAGAATAACATAATGGTTTTTACAATTTTTTAGGTCACAATATTTGCACAGCCATGTATCAAATGCATATTTTTAGGAAAAATACACTTAAATACATTTTAGTGCACACAAACAAATGTTTTTGGTAAAGTATAAAAGATGATGTTTCACTGAGTAAACAGATACTAAACATGGCAAGATTTAAAATGTTGCAGGCCTGTGAAAGACGGCAGACTATAGTACCTAAAAACCTCCATAGCCGATGCGTTAAAAGCCTTTACAGGTTACTAGTTTAGAGTGAAATGTGAGCTGTGGTATTACAATTATTGCTCTTGTGTTGACATTCGTGTTGATACCTCACATGTGTGGTGCAAACACCGTTTACATATGCATGCACACAGGGGCGGACTGACAACTCATGGGGCCCCCGGGCAATAGGGGATCATGGGGCCCCTGTGTCATTGCCCAAACTCAATAAAGCCTATGAAAAAGGTACCAGGGGCATCTCATGGGGCCCCCTACTGACCTCGGGCACTCGGGCAGTGCCCAAGTTTCCAAATGGTCAGTCCGCCCCTGCGTGCACATTTACTGCTAGTGGGCGGCACAGCTAGGCACTGCAACATACCTGTAGGTCACGATGAAGGACACTGCAAGAGTTTGTCTTCAGGTTGCAGCCAATGATTTTGCCTGTACACCTGCTGATTGGCTGTGGCCAATCACAGCACAGAATTCTGTGTTTACAGACACACAGAAACACCTAACACAGAACAGCAATCTGGCTGTTTTTTTCTGCCTGAAATCAACTCTGAGTTCAGTGAGAAAAGACAGCCAGATCCTGTGAGTAAAAAGCAGCACACATACACTTGTTAACCCCTTGATTGACCTTCTGATCACCCCTGTCACCCATTAGTTTCATTAGTACAGTGTACAGCAGGGGTATTGAATGAAAATTCACAAAGATGAGGTCAGTAAACTTTTTTTCCAGTAGAGGTCCAAATCTCATGTCAGCATCTGTAGCACACAAACCACATATTCCTGCAGCACCAAGCACCTTGGTGCGGCTCAATTTTGAAAAAATAAGGGTCAGGGACTTTTATTCTCCATGTTTCTCATGGGTAGTGCAGACCATTAAAATGAATAGGCTGATCTACCCACAGTTTGTGTACCAAATGCACATGCACAGATCTAAACCTGTACTTATTTCAGTGTCCTCTCACTGCACATTAGTGATGGGCCTAACACCACACTGTTCGGTTCACTGTCAAACATTCAAACCTACCAAAAGTTCAACCGTGAACTTTGAACAAGGACAATTTACTGAGAGGTATCTTACTTCCTCAGCACCTCACATCACACTTTAATGTTCACCCAGCCACCCCAAATCACAGTCTTCAGCCCCCCCCCTCCACTTTGGTGTTCTCAGCCCTCCACAGTGCTCAACTCCCAACTTTAATGTCCTCAGCAGCCCACATTACAATCCTCAGGCCCCCACTTTAACGTACACAGTCCCCAACATTACTGTGCTTAGCCCACCATTACCCTCCTCAGCTCCCCACTTTAATGTGCTCAGCCCCACCACATCACAGTCCCTGGCCCTCCACATCACAGTCCTTAGCTCCCCCCCCACATTCCTGTCCTCAGTCCCCCACTTTAATATCTTCAGCCCCCCACATCACAGTCCTCATCCCCCCACTAATATGTTTTAGCCCCTCCTCACATCACAGTCCTCAGCCCCCCACTTTAATGTCATCAGCCCTCTCATATTACTGTCCTTAGCCTCCCAGTTGATGTCATCAACCCTCAAGTCCTCAGCTTCTTTTCACATAAGCCCCCTTTACATTAGTGTCCTCAGCCCCGTTTAACTTAGACCACCCTCATTTTCCTACCTTAGGTCTGAATGGAGGACAGGAGCTGCAAGATTGGTTGCTAGGACTTCCCTTCAGCCTAGCAATCTATCACTTGCTTGTTAACTTCGGGCAGCTCCCATCCAGAAGTGTCCTGCCTCATGCTGTCAGCTCTGTGAGAATGACAGCATGACTGCTGGGGAAAGAAAAGGCTGCTAAATAGTGGGACCACAGCGGTCTGGATGGGACAGTGACTCGGTCAGCATCCGGACCACAGACTGCCATTTAGTGATTCCGGGTGCACAGGGTGATCATTGTATTATATTTTAGTGTCACTGGTGATGTCAGTTAGTCTGCTAGTGCCCCTCCTAGCCAGTGTCAGTTAGTGTCAGATTGCCTTCAACACTGTCTCAGTCCCACTATAAGTTGCTGTCACCACCATTACTAATATACAGTTGCAAGAAAAAGTATGTGAACCCCTTGGGATTACGTGGAGTTTTGCATGAATTGGGCATAAAATGTGCTCTGAACGTCATCTAAGTCACCACAATAGAAGAACACAGTCTGCTGAACATAATACTACACAAACATTAGATGTTGCCATGGTTTAATTGCACATAACATAAAAAAAGTATGTGAAGTATGTGAACCTTTGGATTTAATAACTGGTTGACCCTCCTTTGGCAGCAATAACCTCAACCAAGCGTTTCCGATAGTTGCAGATCAGACCTGCACAACGATCTGGAGTCATTTTGGACCACTCCTCTTCACAAAACTGTTTCAGTGTAGCAATATTCTTGGGATGTCTGGTGTGAATCGCTCTCTTAAGGTCATGCCACAGCATTTCAATCGGGTTGAGGTCAGGACTCTGACTGGGCCACTCCAGAAGGCGTATTCTGTGCTGTTGCAGCCATTGTTTTGTTGAATTACTTGTATGCTTTGGGTCATTGTCCTGTTGCATCACCCATCCTCTGCGGAGCTTCAGTTGGCGGACAGATGGTCGTACGTTTTCCTGCAAAATGTCTTGATAAACTCTGGAATTCATTTTCCCATCAATGACAACAATCCGTCCAGGCCCTGAGGCAGCAAAGCAGCCCCAAAACCATGATGCTCCCTCCGCCATGTTTCACAGTGGGGATGAGGTTTTGATGTTGGTGTGCTGTGCCTTTTTTCTCCACACATAGTGTTGTGTGTTCTTCCCAAACAACTCAATCTTGGTTTCATCTGTCCACAGTATATTCTGTCAGTAGTGCTGTGGAACATCCAGGTGCTCTTTTGTACTTCAAACGTGCTGCAATATTCTTTTTGGACAGCAATGGCTTCCTCCGTGGTGTCCTCCCATGTACTCCATTTTTGTTTAATGTTTTCCTTATTGTAGATGTGTCAACAAAAATGTTAGCATGTGCCAGAGATTTCTGTAGGTCTTTAGCTGACACTCTGGGATTCTTCTTTACCTCATGCAGCATTCTGCGCTGTGCTCTTGCAGTCATTTTTACAGGACGACCACGCCTAGGGAGAGTAGCAACAGTGCTAAACTTTCTCCATTTGTAGACAGTCTGTCTTACCATGGACACATTAACATCAAGGCTTTTGGAGATACTTTTGTAACCCTTTCCAGCTTCATGCAAGTCAACAATTCTTGATCGTAGGTCTTCTGAGAGCTCTTTTCTGCGAGGCATGGTTCACATCAGACAATGCTTCTTGAAACCAGTAAACCCAAAACAAGTGTGTGTTTTTTAAGGGCAGGACAGCTGTCAGCAACACACAGCCAATATCATCACACTGATTGGAGTCAAGGTTGGCTCACTCCTGGCTCCAATTAGCTCTGGGAGAAGTCATTAAGCTAGGGCCTCACATACTTTTTCCTCCCTGCACTGTGAATGTTTACATGTTATGTGGAATAAAACCATGGCAACATCTAATGTTTGTGTAGTATTATGTTCAGCAGACTGTATTCTTCTATTGTGGTGACTTAGATGACGTTCAGAGCACATTTTATGCCCAATTCATGCAAAACTTCACGTAATCCCAAGGGGTTCACATACTTTTTCTTGCAACTGTAGCGTCTATAGCTGCGTAAATTCCAGTATACCATAGTTTGTAGAAACTATAACTCTCACACAAACCAATTAATATACACTTATTGGGATTTTTTTTACCAATGACATGTAGCAGAATAAAGTTTGGTCTAAATTTATGAAGAGTTTTGATTCTATTAGATATGTTTTCTAACAGAAATGATAAATATCGTTTTATTTTTCATAATTTTCTGTCTTTTTTTGTTTATATAATAAAAAATAAAAAACCTAGTGGTGATCAAATACCACCAAAAGTAAGCTGTATTTCTGTGAAAAAAATGATATAAATTTAATTAGGATACTGTGAAATTGCAAATTAAAATAGCACAGTGCTGAATAGCAAAAAACGTCTTGGTCATGAAGGGAGTAAAACCTTCTGGGGGTCAAGTTATTGATTTTTTTGCTTTATTTAAATTCATTTTTTACATATTTTATTTTTTTTCATTCAACTTTATTGCTATCACAAGGGACAAGCAACATACATGGATTGAATTTTGGCTGTTTCAGCATTGACCAGCTGAATTTTGATCCATGTATGTGGCCAGTGTGGTTGAATAGAAGTCAGTTAACAATCGACTTGGTTTCGATTGACATGTTCAGACAGGAACAGGAAATGTGCTGCTAGCAGGATCACCAAATGGAAATAAAGAAAAAAAAAGCTTGAGAAGAGAAAACTGTTGCAGACTGCACATCTCAAGACTGATAAGCTGCAAATCAATCATTTTTGTTTGTCGGTTTACATACACTGTAAGTTAAAAATGTACGTTAATAAAAATTGTTATTTACTGACTACAGTTTCTCTTCAAGTAAGCTGCCCTTTCTGTAAATCTTCATCCTTTTTATCTGTAGCGAAAATGAAAAATGTGAGAGTATGACTTGCCTTATGACTCCTTTCTTTCTGTTATCTAGGTGAAATTATCTACACTAAATTAGACAAGGCTGCCTGTAAATACCATGCAGTTTGCGGTTCATCATGTCAAATGGAATGGTATGTAGGTGACTGTGAACCAATAGTAGAATCTGGCACAGGAGAACCTTCCCCCACGAAAGGACTTGATACCCTCATACTGAACTTCCAATATACTAAACCCCCATATACCAGACGGCCGCGCAAAACGCCACCACCCCCAGCAGAAGGTGAAAGTCAAATAACAACAACGACAGATGAACCAAGTATTTCTTGGGAAATTGGTAAGTATGAGCCATAATTTAAATTTCATGTAATTTCTGAATAATATCTTAATATAATATTATTAATTAAAAATCCTTTTTATTTAGATAATTGAAAATGAAAATATGTCCACTAATTTCAGAAATATGGCTATACAAATAAATACAGAAGTGCAGAATCACTGTTGTATTCTTTGATTCTGATAGACTTAAGGCTTGAGGCTGTTTACATAGCAAAGTGAATAAGGAGAAGATGTGTTTTACATGGAAAACCCAATCAGGTGCCTGTGAAATTAATAGAAAAAAAAGTATTTTTTCTTGTAGTGATTGAATGACTGAAGTAAACACAGCTTCAGCTCATTCACTAAGATAAGTGAACATATACTTTACTAAGTGAACAGTCTTTTCCCCTTTAATAAATCAAGCCTAGTGAATCTTTCTTTCAGCCTAAAACACACAATCAGTGGCCTTCGACCATTTGTTGGCAAATAGAACTTTTTAGTACATATTTATCCAGGAGATATGTGGGTCAGGGAATCCTATATTTTCTCCTATAATTATGAGACTGAATTTGCATCCTAACTTCAAACCTAACTTAAGGCTTTGTACCCCATCCCCCACAAAACAACTGCCCCTGTGGCACCAACTGGCAGTATGTTGTACTTTTTATATCTCAGAACTCACCTTTTTCCAAAGTGTTCAGATCAGTCCTCTTCATCTTCAGCTATTCTCTGGGCTGGACAGTCCTCACTGATGTAGAAAGCAGCTCCAATGTGATTGTGTCCGATGGAATTATCTTGTTATTTGCAGTAGTGAAAATCTCTTTTCCCCAATCATTTTAATATTATTCTGCAGGGTGTGAACCTTGTCAGTGCCTGATGCCTAATTGTGGAACAGGGTATCGTGTCGTATCTCGCTGGGCTCCAGGTTCCTGCTGTGCCAACATCACTTGTGGTATGGGTCTTCTAGTTTTCACTATTTATTGAGTGAAAAAAGAATCAAGGGACTCATTTCAGCAACAAAAGTTTTGTTTTACATAGTTGTGATATTTGATACAAGAGATTTGTATAATCTGTTCAGTTTTTAGCAGACATTAGTTTATATTTTGAAATAGCTCATCGTTATTTCTCTTAAAAAACAGAAATAGAAATATAAGCTACAATCTACGGAGAAATGTATATATAAATATTTTTCTTTTTGCAGAGCCTGATTCTGTTTGCGTAGTGGATAATGTGATATATCAGGTATTTATTTTATTTTGTTTAAAACTAAACTCTAGACAGAGATAAAAAGGCACACATTATTACAGCTCTTAAATGTATTTCTATAGGCAATCATTGTAAGTACTTGCATTTACCTGGTATCAGCCGCTTGTTGTCGCTGTGTATCTAAGCTGGAGTGTTAGAGGATGAAAAAGCACAGAGTTGATTAGCTCATTTGCTGACAAGACGTATACTGATAGCTGGGAAAAAGCAGAGTGACAGAGAGATGAGCTCATCATTGTGCTGCTTTTCCTTTCACTGTCCTTACACAGGCTGGGGGCAGGTCTAGGGCAACCTGGGCTCAGAGGAAGTAGGATGCAAAATTCTGGCTATTAGAATGAGGACATCTAGTTGCAGAAAAAAGGACTGTTGGCAAAATCTCTGTATTGAAGCTGAATATTGCAGCAAAAGCTGGATTTGTTGTTTTATTTTTCCATGGTCTATTCATGTTTATCCTATTTTTGGTGATATGTTTTGATAAGAGTGATAAAAACATAACATAGCAGAGAAAGATCCACTGCTGTTCCTACCAGAAGACAACAAACAGGAAAAGAGATCCACACTGCTAACTGCTAACATCTACATTTCTATGCAGCCTTTATTGTAAAACCAACTGTGGGAAATAGCAGTGAGTGCAAATCTTCTTTCCTAATTGTTGAACTTTGTAAAAGTATCTGCAGCACCAGAGAACTAAAGATGGCCACAGATGGTTAGAATCTCAAATGAAAAGTCTTAGGAAAATTCGTATGAAAACTCTCAGAACGTTCATAAGTCATTTGAAAGCTTTTGTTTTGGAATGAATGGACTTTATCAAACGAAAGCCAAATACACTGGCTCCATACAGACAGCAGTTCCCTTGGTAGAAACAAATGCTGATATAAAGCATTTTTACACGGTTTAGGTGAGTTTAGGAGAATGTAGCATTTTTCTGTCAGAAAGCTCCAATCAAAAACACAAACCAAAAGGGTTTTTTTCCTGCCTCTAAATATTTAACTTAAAATATGCCTCTAAAAGCATCACGGGCAAGAGTCCAGAATCCTCACTGATAACACTAGAGAAATAGATCATCATTAAACAACAGGTGAAATAACAAAATGTTTTTCAAAATGTTTTTTATTGGATTGAATTAGAAAACTGGATAATAAATCAAGAGATCCAATGCGTTTCGTGTGATATGATCCACTTCTTCAGGGAATTTAGGAAAAACAAAACAACAGTGCCTACAATGGAATCAAAAAGTACAAAACCAATTAACAAAGAAAATACAGATGAAACATAATAATAAACTCAATGAAAATGTAAAGCAAAAATAGATAAATACAGTAAAGGCAGAAATTACCAACCGATGATGGTGCTCTGTTCAGTAGTAACACCTGATGTAGATGAAGATCAATATTGGTAGAAAATATAAGGAGAAAGCTTTATTAAGCAGACAGCGGGGAGGAAACCACCAGTCCAAGAGTACCTCTGGTCCTATTAGGGAACCATCAGTCCAAAAGTACCTCTGGTCAGATAGATAGCAGAAAGCCAAACCAATGTTCTATGAGTCCATAAGATAATTAATGATTAAAAACTAAAAAACTTTTTAAAATAAAATAAAAAAAAAATATAGGTCTCTTACTTCTCTGAAAACCAACTACACCCCTCCTCCCCAAAGTTAGTCAAAAAATTGCATATATTACAGAGAAGGGCCCAAAAGAAATGTATAATATATTTAACCAAAATACACAAAAGAGACCCATTGTTTGGCTAAAGTAAATAAACAAATAGATAAATTATTATATAAATCCAAGAAAACATACCATTCCAATTGTGTAAGGATGTGGTAGCCAACCATCAAAATTTAATGATGAAACCCAAGCTTTGTTGCACTTAGATGGTAAAAAGGCAGAAGTCTCAGTAGTGGACAAAAAAGGGCAAAGTTTGCCCAAACAAGAGTCCCAGTGTAAAAAGTGAAAACAAATATCAATTTGACCCACTGATGATTAGAAAAACAAACTTTCTGAGAACATTTTTTTCCTAAGAATTTTGGAAATCCTACCCATCTAGAGCCAGCTTAAGTGTGAGAGTGAGATGTAGGATATCTGGTTATGCTTTCCTAACTGATAACACAAGGCTGGGCTGTGGTTCCTGGGTAATTAAAACATGTAGGGAGCACTATTGTTTATATAAAGACCTACCGTAAGGCAAGGTGATGATTTAATTTCAAATGACCCCCTTCTGTGTGGGCAGTATGGGACAAGCTTCTAACCTTGCTTTATGGCCCCTAAGCTTCTTTCTCTAGTTATACACCCTATGAACACTGCACAAGGATAGAAAAATTATCCACCCATTGTTTCTTTTGGGTATATGTTGTCAGGATTGTCCACAGTTCAGAGGAATGGAGCTTGGTGATTAGGTGAAGTGTATTATCAGAAGATCATCGGGCATTATTTAATGTAGATGGTACATTATGTAGAAAAGTCTTGCTATTGGAAAATAAAGTGTACATGCAATGGATAATCATGAAATGCTCTTTTTAAACATATACCCCAGCATGGAGACTATGCAGTGGGAAAACAAGCTATACCTACATGCTGCTTACAGTGGAATATTGGATCTGATTTATTTAAGTGTTTGAAATAGCAAGTGCCCGAGTTGTTCATAGCAGTCACCCAGTTTGATCCCTATATTGAATAATACTAAAATGTAGAATTAAGTATGCAATTTGTTGCTGCAGGGTAGAATAATGTTAACCACTTTAATAATGGATCCCCAGTGCTCTTTATAAGCAACAATAAAACAACTGAACAGAATTAAGACTTAAATATGACCATTATTTATTATTCTTTAATTAATCTTTTCCTAGCGTGGCTCCCTCATCCCACAACCTAAGAATTCATGTCAGAAATGCGAGTGTGCCAAAGATGAAGTAGATGACTCTGGCTTTTATGCTGTCAAATGTGAGGAGATCAAGTGTGATAAAACCTGCGAAGAGGTACGTTGTCAGTCATACAGCCAGTAGTCAAATTGCAGCTTAAAGTGGTTGTAAATCTCAGACATAAAATATAAACAAAGCATATCCCCCTATAGTGTGTATTTGCCTCAATCCAGAGCACTGATTGTCATATCTGTCTGCTGCCTTGTTCCTCTGCTATAAGAGTCACTTCTGACAAGTTTTCCTGACATCAACAGAAAAAGGTGATTGAGCAGGGAGCTTCAGCACACAGCCTGTGATTGATGGCCTCAGCTCTGTTCCTGTGTGCTGTGTGAAAGGGGAGGGGGAGTGTCTTTTCCCCCCAATCAGCTCTCAGTTGTCTTCACTGAGCTCTGCAGAGTGTAACTTCAGCTCCCCACCCCCCCTCTTTCAGACAAGCTGTATAAATTCTGTACTTTGAACAGATGTAGAGAAGAGAGGAATGAAGATGAACAGGTACAACTTATGTAAGAGGATTTGTTTCATTTCTGTGTATGACCTGAGGCCAGTCACATCACTGGGTATACATAAGGGTTTACAACCACTTTAGTTCAATCTGTCATTATATATTTTTTAATTGTACATGTTTATTACAAAAATGTATAGTTACCGTCTAGTTGGGTAAGTGATGTTAACCCCTTTCTGTTGCCACCTGCTGGCCCTTTAACAGTTGCCAAATGCCGGGAGGTGGAAGCGGGCATTCCGATTATGGGACCGATGTGATTGGCAGGCACAGTGTTCACAAGATCGAAAAGCTCCGTATCGCACGTATTTCTGATACCCACCGGTTACTGTGCTGGGAGCACGTGCTCAGCACAGTAAAGTGTTTACATAGAGGAGCATATATGCGGTCGCGCAGCATTAAAGCCCTTCCGCCGAAAGGCTGCATATATGCGTATCTCCGGTGGGAAGTGTTAAATGGATATCCATGCTACACTATTATTGACCCATGCTTCTGCTTCTTACTGATATCCTCTCCTAAGCAATCTTGGCAGAACCATACTTCAGCTGTTGTGATGCACCTATGGTACCATCACATATAAATAGAAAGTAACAGTGCATGAGATTGGCCAGAGAGACCCCTCCATTGTACTACGCCACACTATATGGACAAGACACAAGCATTGGTTAGCCTACTCCAAACAATAAATCATGAGATGGCTCTTCATTACCTGAGCTCTGTTCACATTACTAGATTCTGATTATTTGGTTAGTTGTAATCATAATTAAAACCGTTGAGATCACAATATATAACATATTGTATTAATAAATTTTTAACACTGTCCTTGCCATTGCAAAACTACTAATATGCAAAACAGGGCTGGATCTAGCCTGTCTGATCTGGTGGTGCAGTAAAAAAAATTCAGGGGACATAATGCCAGTAGCGTGACAGGGACGCATGGGACCAGTATTCCCTGTTCACTCCGCACACTTTTGTACCATGGAGTCATAACCTGGAAGTAACATCTTACAGGTAGTGCAGAGGTGGTGCAAGACTGAACTGGTAATGCTGTCATTAGTTTAGGGCAGGGGTGGGCAAACTTTTTGACTTGAGGGCCGCAATGGGTTCATATATTGGACCTGGGGGCCGGACCAAGAGTAGATGAATGATGTGTATGTGTCATCCATAGTAAGTATAGTAATATTCCCCCATATAGTAAGCATAGTAATTCATCCCCCATAGTAATTCATCCCCCATATAGTAATTCATCCCCCATATAGTAATTCATCCCCCATAGTAATTCATCCCCCATATAGTAATTCATCCCCCATAGTAATTCATCCCCCATATAGTAATTCATCCCCCATATAGTAATTCATCCCCCCTATAGTAATTCATCCCCATATAGTAATTCATCCCCTATAGTAATTCATCCCCCATATAGTAATTCATCCCCCATAGTAATTCATCCCCCATATAGTAATTCATCCCCCCTATAGTAATTCATCCCCCATAGTAATTCATTCCCCATATTAAGTCCCCAAGTCCCCCCTGTGTCAATTCACTTACCTTTGCTCCGCGCGTTCCTCTCGCCGTGTTCCCGCGCCGTTCCGGTGTAGCATGAAAATCTGTCTCCTATGAGGATCTGTCCCCCTGGACGTATCTGCGCATGTGCCAGTTTCAGGCATTATCAGCCGATCGGCGATCTCCGGCACATGCGCAGATACGTCGAGGGGGACAGATCCTCATAGGAGACAGATTTTCATGCTACACCGGTCTTCGGGGCGGACTGTGAGAGGAGCCAGCTACCCTCACGTTCATCACGCTGCCCCGCCTACACACATCCTGACAGCCATCCTGACAGTATCACGCTCCGCGGGCCGGATTAAAAGGTCCGCCGGGCCGTATACGGCCCGCGGGCTGTAGTTTGCCCATTGCTGGTTTAGGGTGATTAAACAGAACCTGTGCCATCTTATATCAGGTGTCCCTAACAGAGTCCCTCCTTATATCAGGAGTTCTTCTCAGAATTCCTTCTTACATCAACTGTCCCCATCAGAGTGCCTTTTTTTCAACTGTCCCCATCAGAGTGCCCCTTTACATCAACTGTCCTCATCAGATCTCATGGATTTGTGAATTCACTCTCAGAGGTGTGGCGGTGCACAATTAAATTCTGGAGGGGCATAGCCCACCCCAGCACCCCCCTAGATCCATGCCTGATGAAAAATAATGTCTCTTTAGTGACTGACATTGTCACAGTTTGCTCTTTGATTACATTACATCGTCAATCAGGAGCATGGTAGGGAAAGAAGGTACTACAACATGAGAATTGAGCTTTTTGCTTGGTTGTGATATAGAAAGAAAAAAAAGACCTATCACACAGAAAAGCTCAAAAGAAATTATTTGTACCACATAATTAGCAAAATGAACTGTTATTGCTTTAGATATTCATTGTACCTCGTAAACTATTGCTTTAATGATGAAAAGTAGTTTAGGCGTTCTGACTGAATGTTATTTTTGTGGTGTTTCCTTTAGGGATATAAATATGTTGAAAAGGAAGGAGAATGCTGCGGCCAGTGTGTACCAAAACAATGCACAATGAAGAAAGAGAAGCGTGACAAAAAGAAGGAAGCTGAAGGAAAGGAATCTGAGGAAGGAATCCAAGGAGAAAAAGGACAGGAGGAACCAAAAGGAATAGAAGAACAGAAAGGAGAAGAAGGACAGAAAGTAAAAGAAGGAGGGGAAGGAAAGGGAGGACAAGAAGGACAGAAAGGAAAAGAAGGGCAAGAAGGAAAAGAGGGAGAAGAAGGAAAGGAAGGACAGAAAGAAAAAGAAGGAGAGAAAGGAAAGGAAGGACAAGAAGGACAGAAAGGAAAAGAAGGGCAAGAAGGAAAAGATGGAGAAGAAGGAAAGGAAGGACAGAAAGAAAAAGAAGGAGAGAAAGAAAAGGGAGGACAAGAAGGACAGAAAGGAAAAGAAGTGCAAGAAGGAAAAGAGGGAGAAGAAGGAAAGGAAGGACAGAAAGGAAAAGAAGGAGAGAAAGGAAAGGAAGGACAAGAAGGAGAAGAAGGACAGAAAGGAAAAGAAGAAAAAGGAGAAGAAGGACAGAAAGGAAAAGAAGAAAAAGGAGATGAAGGACAGAAAGGAAAGGAAGGACAGAAAGCTAAAGAAGGACAAGGAGAAGAAGGACAGGAAGGAAAACAAGCAGAAGAAGGACAAAAGGGAGAAGATAAGGATGAAGATGATGAAGTTAGGATTAATGTAAGTCTGAATAAAAAATAAAGTTCCTAAAGGGCATATATACTATATACAAATCTCAGACATGTAAAAGAGATTCCCTTGAAGCAAGGTCTGTGCTGACATTTGAAAACCCTTGTTTCTATGCATAGCACATCATTATGAGCATAGTTGTAGCTATATTTGCTTGTTTCACACACCCACTGTGCTTCCTGCTTCAAAGTGTTACAGAATGACTGAGTTGTACCACTACTTTTCACAATGCAATCCAGGCCTGTGGGATCAATTTATTAAAGGATTAGAGAGAAGATGAATGTTCACTCAGCAAAATTAAACTGTCTTAGTTCCAATCATCCAGAAGGCAAACTCCTGTTTTGTTTTTTGTTTTTTAATTCCCTTGCACATGAATGGACATGCATAGTATACCTTATTTACTGAACTAATGAATAATGATTTTGCTAAGTAAACAGTCTATTCTGTTTAAATGAATCCCAAGTCAACTCTTAAAAAACAATGCACTCCCTGTGTGGCTAATATCTTACTTCAACAGTTGGTAAGCAGAAAATCAGAGTGATTGTATGAGCTAATCTACACTCCTTCTAGCTGCTAATCTACAACTCTTTACATTTTATGCAACACCAACAGTATGGAAGCATGTTAAACTGTGAAACTTCTTTAACAGTTACTTTAAGATATACAGAGCAGTAATAGCTAAATGTATGACATCACTATAATATAAAATATTTTCTTTTTAACTATTGCCAGCTATATTAGATACATAATGGAGAACAGCCACTCGTTGAAGTACATTAGTTGCAAAGACAAAAAATGTTCAGTGTCAGTATCTTCCATGTCAGTTCTCTTTATACTTTCAGCTGGGGAAAACAAACTACATCAGTGTAAGTAATTGTATTTTGTTCATTTTTAGATTGGAGATACTTATCGTCCTGAAGGAAGCACTTGTGTCTACTATGAGTGTGATGAAGATGAAGACGGCAACCCTGTTTTAACTAAAGTGAAGAAAGTTTGCCAAGAGCTGGATATTTCCAAATGTGAAGAGGTAATTTTTGGATTCTTTATTAATAATTTACAGTGGTTGGACCACTGTTCTACTTCCCACCTCAAGTCTGGAAATATATGTACTGTAACTGATATGAATCCTGATGTGGTAATAGACTAAGTGTATCCTGACTTTGATTATTAGATCTTGTCAAATAAATATTCCTTACCAGTATTTTGTAATTGTAAGATAAATTCAGAAAAAAGCAAACTTTTTTACTAGCTTACTGATGCAAAAATGGACTGTACATTTCTTGGTCAACAACAAATATTGTATACAGAGAAGCATAACAAAGCTGTGAGTCCAAAATGTATCTTCTAATTGACAAACACACTATATATACCAAACAAACAAATATAAAGTAGAGTAACAGCAAAGTATTCACATAAAAGAAAAAAGTCCCAACACAGTCTCTTATCACAACACACCATATGTGACATCAAAATGGTCTTCACCTTTTGCCAACTGTGTCTCCAACAACTATGTGGAAAACCTGCTCACCTCACTTTTAGACCTCATCACATCATGGTGTATACACCTGTGGATGCTCGGTATGGTCTTCCTTCGATATTCCCCTTGGCACTGCTTTGGAACTCAAATCCTCCCACTGACAATGAAATATGAGAGCGTTAGTGGGAGGATTTGAGTTGCATAGCAATGCCAAATGAAGATCTGAGGAAGACCATACCGGGTGTCCACAGGTGTATATACTATGATGTGTTGAGCATATTGTGACCTGTTTATGAGGTCTAAAAGTGAGGTGAGTAGGTTTTTCACAAAGTTGGTGGAGGCACAAGACGAAGATAGACTATATTGATGTCATATATTGCACAGTGGTGTTTTGTGGTAAGAGATTTTATGTGAATATTTTGTTGTTGCGCTATACTATATTTGTTTTATTTTCAGCAGGTATGGTGAAATCACTAACAATGTTTTAGTAAGTAACAATTTATTGGTATTGATTTAGTGAGTTGGTTAAGGTTGCGCTGATTGAATTGGGTTTTGATTTTTACACTATTTACCGTTCTTTGCTTAAACAAGCCTGGGCATTGCACAGTGAATCAGGGTTCAAGTAAGATTGCAACTGTGCCTGTGCAACAAAATACATTTTACAGAACGGTCCCATTCTGTTACTCCTTAAAAACAGAGGTGTCAAAATCTGCATTTTCAAATAAATTTGAAAGTTGTGCTCTGCATCACGTGGTGCTACATGACATTTCTCTATAAACAAGTACCACCTGTTGGCTACATATCTCTATCATCTTGAAATGCCCCTGCTTCACAGATGCTTTGTAGGTGCCTATGTAGACAACCTCTAAATATCATATGACTATATTGCTTTAGGACTTTTCCACAGAAGTATGCATGGTGTCATCTTTACCTTAAGTCACTTGCCTTATAAAGGCATTAAAAAAACCATAATGAAACAATTGGATGATAGGGCTAATTTTTAATAAAGAGTCTGTACTATTTAGTGCTAATAAAACCTTAGACCAGTAACTCATGGCAACCCATCAGAATCCATCTTGCACTGGTCTGATCTGAGCAGAGTGAATTCTGATTGTTGGCTATGGGTTACTGCAGATAAGCATTAAAGCGGAGCTCCACCCAAAAGGGGAAGTTCCACTTTAAGGCTTCCTCCCCCAGTCCGGTTTGTGAAATGGAGCTTTTGGGGAGGATGGGTTGGGCGGGTACCCGATTTTGACAGGTTTTTTTTTTTGTTGAAAAAATATACTTTATTTTTTACATAATTATAAAAAAAACAAGATACTTTAGTCGGGGTACATCTCACCCTGTACTGCGATGCAGTGCTTAATACACCACATGACAATACTGTTTCAATCATACAATAAATACATTCACTTAGCGGTATGATGCCTAACGTGATGCGCACGGCAGACAAATTCCCTAGACCATCACATCATGCATGACGCCGCTTACCCCGAGACTGTTTGTGGCCTCCTAAGGTTCCACCAGAGTATCCTGGTAGTGCAGTGACAGATGTGCAGTGCCTGGGTCAGACCCCTGTCCCACATGGCACCGCCACATAACCATAACATGCAGAAACATTACCGAATAAACCAATTCAAACAAGCATTGGGTGTGTTGGGGGGGGAGGAGGGCAGAGGGAAGGGGAACAGAGTTCACAGGCCCAAAGCTTTATTGAAAGAACAAAGACACGCAAGGAAGAGTAGGGGGAGGGGGAGACCCTCAGACATCCTCTTCCTCCTTAAAGTCCATCAGTACCCGCTCCCACTTCCGCTTCGATCGCCTAGGCTTCTGCAATCTTCTGGGACACATGACAGGTCCTAGAAGACTGCGGGACCATTTGAAGTGTGCAGTGCTGCTCACGCTTGCGCAGTGAGCACCTGGCTGTGAAGCCACAAGCTGTCACAGCCGTGGTGCCCATAGTAAAGATGCAGGCACCAGGGAGAGAGGACACAAACTGAAAACAGGTTGGCCGAGCACAGTGCTGGATCGTAGGACAGGTAAGTGCGTGTTTATTAACAGTCAGCAGCTACAGTTTTTGTAGCTGCTGACTTTTAATTTTTACAAAAATGACTGGAGCTCCACTTTAATAAGAGTTTTTGATTTATTAAGGTTGTTCATTTATTGTGCATCTGTTTTAATGAGCCATCATGTCTTTCCTATAGGGCACAGTTAAATATGATGAGGATGGATGCTGTCAGACTTGTACACCTAAAACAGGTACGCCAAAAATGCCCATTTTAAGCAGTTTATATATTCTATAAGTTCTAATTTTATATTACCTCTATGCAAATCAGCCTCTTCTGGTCCTTCCCCAGTGACATCACATCTTCAGATCTGTAGCATACAGATTGGTCATTTCCTTGTGAGATCCCTCCTCCAGCACATACAGTACATTGGGATTTCCCCAGTGTGATCCCTACTCTAGCACACACACATATTAGTTAGTCTTTCCCCAGTATCCTCTCACCAGCACACACAGTCTTCAGCTTCCTTTCCAAAGATTCCTCACACTGCAGCCGCCACACACTCCCATAACACAACTTTCATGCTGAGCACTGTCCATGTCCTCCCCAAAGATATTACATACTGCCCAGATACACAGTCTACAGCAGGGGTGGGCAACCTTAAAGAGGTCGAAATCTACCTGAACAACACGGGAGAAATCAAAGATTACCGAACCCAATGTCGCACAGTGTCGCCTCCTCACACCCGATTTAAACCTCTAATTGCCGTACTTCCGTGTCACAATCACGTGCATTACACAGCAATTATGAGTTTAAATCAAGTGATGAGGAGGCAAAATATTACCTCCTCACCACCTGTCAAACACACTCAGATTGCTTTGCAGAGAAGCAGTAGTGTCTGCTGCACTTGTGAATAAGCCCTTAGTTGCATCTGGCAGCGGCACTCTTGGGGCTCATTCAAATGTAATGTAATGTTGGGGGGGGTAAAACCCTGTGGTTGAGTCATGGTTTTACCACCACGAATCCCTACCCCCTTTAGCTGCTGAGGCAGCAACCAAAGGTATGCACATGCCGCAGCAGAAATTACGCTCCTTGATGCTTTTGGTGGGTACTACTGCCTGTCAGTCAAGACCCATTCAAGAAGTAAATGGGGCCACCACAATTGCATGCTTCTGCGGGGTCCAAGGGGTTAAAGCAGGTGGTGAGAAAGCAACACGGTTGCAGGGCACTTGCAGAGTGGCCTCGTTCACTTGAATGGGTCATGTTTTGCAGATGCCACATTCACCAATCATGACAGGGCATAGGAGCCAGGACTACAGAGGACGCATCAACGTACACGGCTCTTGCTCCCTACTGCAGCTCCACCTTCACAAGTAGTCCCTCTGCAGAACACTCTGATGCTCTGGGATGATGGATCAGCAAGCCCAGACCGTGATCGACCAGTCACCTGGTAGATCACGATCTACTGGTTGCTGACCCCA